TTACTACGGGTTCACTGAGGAGGATGTACAGACCAGGGAAAGGAAAATAGCACATGTAAGGTTTGTAATTTGGATGTGGAAAGGGGAAGGGTTACACACCTCAGTATGATAGCTGTTACAATAAAATTCATCAACAAAGTAATCTTGATACTTACAGTTGTTTTAAGCACTGTCAGAAATTTGCTCCAAATGCAGAATACCTCTGTTTTAGGTTGTGCCTCAGCTTTTTAAAAAATTTTATTCAAGTATAGTTGATTTATAGTGTTGTGCTAATTTCTGTTGTACAACCAATGACTCAGTTATACATATTTTTTCACATTCTTTTGCATTATGGTTTACCACAAGACATTGAATATACTTCCATGTACTGTACAGTAGGATCTTGTTTTTTACCTATTCAATATATAATACTCTGCATCTGCTAACCCCAAATGCCCGATCCTTCCCTCACCCTCCCTCTCCGCCCTCCTGGCAACCACAAGTCTGCTGTCTACGAGTCTATTTCTGTTTCATAGCTATGATCATTTGTGTTGTACTTTAGATTCCATATATAAATGATATCATAAGGTATTTGTCTTTCTCTTCTGACTTTATTTAGTATGATAATCTCTGGATCCATCCATGTTGTAAATGTGTGCCTCAACTTTTTAATTTTAAAATATACAAGGAATAACAGAGGCCAAGTATACTTTTAAAATAGCCTTTTCTTTTTTAAAGAGGAGAAAGATAATTCAGAGTAGAGCTTTCAGCACTCAATGCAAATCTACTTTCTAAACTGCTGCTGCCCTCTGCTGTCTCTGAGTTTATTTTCATTTTTTCCAGGAATAATATTAAAATAACATTAAACCTAGAGTTAGTCAAAACTAAGACATCACATGATGGCAGAACATACTCAATTTCTAGTAATATACAAATATATCTTTTTAAAACTTTTAATGACTTTACTTTTAAACAGCACATTTGATTTTTCCTCATAAATTAGCCTGTTTTGGCTTTCTCCGTGAAATCAGTACACTAACAGCTATCCTGAACTCTGTGAAAAGGCATTCTACTGTGTTTTTTTAAAAGCTCAAGAGAGGCACACGAAAAGATGCTCAGCACCGCTAATCATCAGAAAAATGCAGATCAAAACCACAATGAGACATCACCTCACACCTGTCAGAATAGCTATTATCAAAAAGACCACAAATAAGAAATTGTTGGCAAGGCTGTAGAGAAAAGGGAACCCTTGTACTGTGGGAATGCAAACTGGTGTAGCCACTGTGAAAAATCAGTATGATCAGAGAACTAAGGACCCACATGCCACAGAGCAACCTAGCCCGCATGATGCAACTACTGAGCCCACGCACTTTGGAGCCCCCATGCCACAAGTGGAGAGTCCATGCACCACATCAAAAGATCCCTCGTGACATAGCAAAGATCCCATACACTGCAACCAAGACTTGATGCAGCCAAATAAACAAATATTTAACAACCAAAAAAAAAGAAGTTAGAGAAAGCCAACTACTGCATGTTATTACACACATGTAGCATCTAAAAAATAGAACGAATATAACAAAACAGAAACAGACTCACAGATACAGAGAACATTGTTCTCTATATGCTGTTGGTCAGTTGCTCAACCACCAGGAGAAAGAACAAGGAGAGGCAATTGAAGGATAGGAAATTAAGAGGCACAAACTACAATGGGTAAAATAAGTAAGCTATAAGGATGATTTGTACAGCATAAGCGTATAGCCAATATTTTACAATAAATTTAAATGGAGTATAATCTATAAAAATATTGAATCACTATGTTGTACATCTGAAACTAACACAATATTGTAAATCAACTATACTTCAATTAAAATAAACTCAAGACAGGTCAGTGAGTCTCTCAGTGACTAGGATACTCCTCAGTTCTCCAACATTCCATATTATAGAAAGAGAAAAGCATAGCTCTTAGCATCACAAAACTTGGAACCATCTTTCTCCTCTAATACTTTCTATGCTGGGTGATTACAAATATTTTAACTGGACATCAGTTAACAAACTGACGATATGAAGCATTAAATTTTCATAATGTTATGATCTCATAACTGACTTGTTGAAAACATTTTACTGTTGTTGTTCAGTTGCTCAAGGATATTAAGCCACACATATGCAGGAACATTGATAAAGAGAGCCACTTTCAAGTCCAATTTAAAACTTCTGTGCATATACCAAGGAATGAGAAAGAGTCCCCAAATAATGTGCAAATCACATTATCTGCACATTTTTTGGGGGGGAGGAGGTTACATATGCTTTCGAATATCTGATGAAAATTACAGATCCTCCCTCCCCCTCAAAATACATATACACAAAATTTTGCATGAAATATCAAGATACTTTCAAGAATGCATTCAAGAATCCCAGCTTTAAAGTTTCAGGTACTGAGTGAAAAGAGGGTAAAAAATAGAACTGGGCTGGGGGGTGGATACACTTAAGGGGAAGGCAAAAAAAAATAGAAGGCTTCAGCAATTCCAGTTCTAGGTATATATTTAAAGAAAACAAAATCATTATCTTTAAGAAATATCTGCTCTCCCGTTCACTGAAGCATTATTTACAATAGCCAAGACGTGGTAACAACCTAAGTGTCCACCAATGAAGGAATGGATAAGAAATTTGATACATACATACAAGGGAGTAACATTCAACCATAAAGAAAGATATCCTGACATCTGCAGCAATGTGGACGGAACTTGAGAGCATATGTCAAGTAAAAAGAGACAGGAAAGTTAAATGCTGTATGATCTCACTTATATGTGAAATCTAATAAGACCAAATTCAAAAACAAAACAGATGTCATGGCTGCCAGAGGCAGCTGGGGGAGGAAATGGGTGAAGGTAGTCAAAAGGTACAAATTTCAAGTTGTAAGATTTAAAAGTCCTGGCAATGTAATGTACAGCATGGTAACTGTAGTTAAAAAAAAAAAAAAAAAAGCAAAACTGTACTGTATATATGAAAGTTGCTAAGAGATTACATCTTAAAAGTTCTCATCGCAAGAAAAAAAATAACTACGTGAGGTGAGGTGACATGTTAACTAAACTTATTGTGGTGATTTACACAGTATATGTACATATCAAATCATTGTGTTGTAAACCTAAACTTATACAATGGTATGTGTCAATTATATCTAAATAAAACTAGGAGGAAAAAAAGACCATCACACACACCAGTGAAACCTGGTTAGGTAAGACTAGACCATGTTCACTGAATTTAGCCACAGGGAAGTTTCAGCGAATGCCATTTTAATACTATGGGTAGAGCTGAAGCCAGTGGAGTCAATGGCAGAAGAAAACGTGCTTTCAGAAACTTCACCGAGTACACAGGCATAAGAGAGGACGCAGGGACAGGACGCCTTTTCTACCTGATGAAGGAAGAGATGAGGAGAGGAATGTTTAAAACATCTGATATTAAGTGGTAGGAGTGAATTGTTTAGACAGCCTATCTCCATGATCATACCCTGATTACAATCCTAACACTGGTCAGCCAATTCCCTGGCACTTCCAGCTGATCCTGCAGAAATAAAGCCAGAGGAGACGCAATCAGGAAATCAGAACAGTAGAAGATATTCATTTATAGGGTGAAGAAATAGAGGCACAAGAAGGGAAATTAAGCCACAATAAGAAATGTGAAACAGAAAAGACACATCTCCTCTAATTTCACTTTGGTGGCACTAAATACAAGAGCATTTAAGCCTCACTGGTCTAATAAGAAGCCCTGACTAGAACAGGATTACTTTATATACAGTGGTACTCTGAAAAGACAAGCAGTTAGCTCTTCTTTAACATTCTGCTAGATAAATAAGAGGAAAGGTTACCACAAATTTAAGTTAAATCTGTACTTATTTTGTACCAGTCATCATTGTTTTAAGTCTACCTCCAAAAAAGTTCAACAAGTTCTCACATAATATTGCAAGTTTTGTTTTTAATAGTTCTACGAGATATTGATTTTTAACTCTGAAACTTAAAATGCTTTTTATATTAGACATATACCTTTGTACTTACTATTCATTGTAGAAACTTATGTTCACTTAAAATTAAAAACTATGCTCATAAGAGCAATCTGATTTTATCCACTAATATATTGATTAACTATTATAAGTCTGCTTACTTTATTCTAGTAAGTTCCCTCTGATTTCAACTGTTACCACCAAGACCTTCTGTCTTAACTTTCTTTCATGGGTGTACTGGAAAGGTTCATTCTAGCAGGCCTGGAATTAGCATGCGGTGTTTTCTTAAAGTTCCTACGTGGCAGTCCCCTGGTCGAGGCATGAAACATACTAATTGTGTTATTTTATAATCACTAGTCCAAGGAGATTCAAGGTGGTTCATTCAGCTTAGTAGCATTGTGATTGATGATTTGTACCTGGTCTCAGTGAGGCCCCAAGAGGGCTCTGCTGTGGAAGCTAGTTACAAAACCGGAAACTGTCCACAAGACCAGCAAAATATTAAAAAGCCCAACAAAACTGTTTAAAGCTCCCTGGTTCCAGGGTGTTCTTCTTACATTAGCAGTCCCTGATCTGAGAAGGTGCACCTTCCTCATCAAGGACCTTTCCATAGACACCAGAACCTGGCTCCCTGGCCCCACTGCTCTGACAGCTTTTGGCTCTGACACATTATCATTACTCTAGCGTGGCTGCCAGACTGTATCCTTTCCCTGTAACAAACCAAACATTCATAAGCACTGTCATTTTGGGTCTTGTTAATCGTCTTCATCAATCAAATCCAGTTGAGCCACCCCTGTTAGTGCAAGAGACCTATTAATAAACCTTGTAATCCTAATATTCATTTCTAAAAAACAAAAATTCTAAACTAAAAAACAAAAATTATAAACTGACAACTTCTGGCTTCTGCAATGTAGCTGTAGGGCAATACAAACCTGTTACTAGAAAAACTTAAAGATGAGTTACCAGAACCAACTTTAAAAAGGACAGCACATCTGTAGTGAAGGAAAACAGAAACAAAATAATTTTTTACCTTCATATTTTTCCAAAGCCTGAATAACATTAGGGAGTTGATTTATACCCTGATAGAGTCGGTAACAATCTTGTAAATTTGCTGCTTGTCTTTGAAATTTCTTGGCAAGTCGGTTAAGATCTGGAAATCGACGAAGTAAATCTTCTTGTAAACTCTGCCTCAATTCTGCATCTTCTACAAAAGCTTCTACCAAATTTAATCTAAAATAAATATTAGAATTAATCTTTTAATATTTTGGTTTAGTTTTCTATTACTTAATATATTTAATATTTTATTTAATTCTAATAAATTACATTTGAATTAATCTTCAGAATTAATATTTAATATGAAATTAAAATTTGTCAACTAGGTGCATGTCTCAACTCAAAAACTCTATGTAAGAAGTTTGAATTTATTCTGAAATGTTAGCTTTTTGTAGACGATGGGAAAGTTCCATAACACTGTGATATAAGCAGTTTCTAATCAGTTAATATCCAAATCTCATTATTGGGACTCCATTGATATTGACACATTACTGCACATGTAAACAATGATCTTTAATGAAACAAAATTACAATTCAAGAATGCTGCCAAAACCAGTATTTATTTTATCAGAAAATCTTATAAATTAAAAATGCACTCTAAAATTACCATATGACAGTACAAAGCCAAAATTTTCTAATTAAAAACTGAACTAAGTTTACTGCTTCCCAAAATCAATAAATTAAATCTTAGTTTCCAGAACTATAAAACATGCAGCTAATATTGCTTCTATAATTAATTGGAGTTAGTGGCTTTCCACTTTTTTCCCAGCAAGAAATATACTTTTACATCATGACCCAGAACACACATGTACAGATGCTATAGTGGGCAAAATACACTACCTCAAAACATGCCATGCTAGTGTCTGTAAGGACTACTTTGGTCTTTAAGGACTATTTTAAGTTAAGAACAACTAAGAAGCAAAAAGAAAGAACGCTCTTTGCTTGTCCTTATATGCCCAAAAGCAGGACATGAATTTACATAGGTGCCCCTCCCCTACACTTTTTTACCAGGAAGGACAACAATTAAACTCAAGTTTAGACCCTTATCACCCTGGAGATGGCACCAGAGGAACCTATGTAACCCTACCAACTATCTTTTATTGACCATTAGCTTCCCACATATTTATCTTCCTAGTTTGTAGCCCTAGAAACTCAAAGTCCTTTTCCTTTGTCTTGTCACTTCTTTGAAAATTCATTGTTCCTTTGCTAAGACGCTATATAACTCAAGTTCTAGCTAACCCTAGAGTTACTCATCCCTGAGTGCTCCCCCATGTAAGCATAAACTTCTGTTTGTTTTCTTATTAATCAGTCTTTTGTCGGTCTAATTCATAGGGTCACAGCCAAAGAATTAGGAGAGTAGGAAACAAGGAAAGAGAATAATTATTTAGGAAGAATTAGGAAAAAGGAATTTTCCTCCCTGACAACATATAATTAAAATAGGTTTCACAAGACAAAACCTACTCTTACTAGATATGGTGCACTCTTTTATTTTGTATTTAACTTTTCAAAAATGCTGGTTATCACCTGCTATACTAATTTCACAACCTACCAGTGGGTCACAATATGCAGTTTGAAAAACTATATTGTAGATAGTATTGAAGTATTAATAACAGCTGAAAGGTAAACTTCAAAAGGTAGGCCGTGGGCACAGCCAACGATCCCAGGTTTAGAACACTATCAGAGGAACAACCATTTTCCTTTAATCCTCAAATTACACAGAAACAGCAAAAGGAACCAAAAGAGTTTTCTAAATTTCTTTTTTCTGATCTCTCCATCAGCATTTACAATTCCTGCATCATCATCTGTTCACCGAGCATGTCATATAAAGGAAAAAATACACTGCTCCTGGAGTGGCCATATAATGACTACAGTTATTAAAGCAAGACTTCACAACCTTGGTGATGTTGACATTTAAGCTGGATAACCCCTCTGTTGTGAGGTGTTGTTATTCCGTGCAGTTTAACAGCATCCCTGAATTTTACCCACTACCCTCTTCCCAGACTAGCAATTCAAAAACATCTCCAGACACTGCTACATGTCCCAGAGGAGGCAGGGCGGGGGAGGGGGATAGCCCTTAGCTATCAAGAATCACAGGATTAAAAGATCTTGAAGTGAAAAAAAAAAAAAAATCAGCTTTTAAAAGATGAAAATAAAGAGAAAAACAACAATCTCTACAGAATGTCAAGATAGTGGCGAGGGAGTTGGTAGTAGATATATTCGCTGTAGCAAATGCCAAATTAGTGGGAACATGATTGCTACCAAACTTGTACTGTGAACCAGTCACAGCCTATATGTACAAACAGAATAATTCGGGCACTTACTGCTCCAGAGAAGATTTCTCTGGCTTGTTTGCACTCTAGATTTTAACAAATAAAACAAACAAAACTGAGTAAGGGATGCAACCAGATCACACAGTCCAATAAGGCAAACGTGAGCCTATCCCAGCTAGTTCTCTGGCTCCTGCTGGGCTTCTCCAAGCCTGGTCCAAGATCACACACATCAAAATCACTTGGAGGTGGGCCCAAGGTGGGGCCCACCTGTGACACTGCAATGAATCAGTTTCTCAGGTGATTCTTCTGCAGGCAAACTGTTTGAAAAAAAGTCTGAGTCCTAAAAGTCACAAGAAATTTCTGAGTTCTCAGGATAAAGCAGGAAAAGAAGTTTAAGGGGGTCAGGAAAAGGATGAAAGTAACCTGATGCTGGATGACCTACCTCATGTTTCTTTTTCTCTTCTAAAACTTGTGTATCCTTAGGCTACTCTCCATAAATGATAAGAATACTCTTGGAGAAGATATTTCCTTTTTTTTTAATTTAATTTTTTTTGCCACACCAAACAGCATGTGGGATCTTACTTCCCCAACTAGGGATCCCCAATCCGCACCCCCTGAAGTGGAAGCATGGAGTTTTAACCCCAAGATTACCAGGGAAGTCCTATATAGAGAAGATATTTCTGATCAAGACTCTCCCTATGATTCTTTCCTGTTCCATGAAATATCTTATCACTGTTTTCTCTAAACCTGATCACAGAATCTTCAGTAACCAACTCTGCTCAAGAGCATAAAACCCCACAGAAGAGAGAGCCCAGAAATAAACCCACACACCTGCGGTAAATTAATCTTCGACAAAGGAAGCAAGAATATACAATGGGAAAAAAGAAAGTCTCCTAAGCAAATGGTGCTGGGAAAGTTAGACAGCTGCATGTAAATCAATAAAATTAGAACATACTGTCACACCATACACAAAAATAAACTCAAAATAGCTTAAAGACTCAAATATATGACATGAACCATTAAACTCCTACAGGAGACTGTAAGTAATAACATTCTCTGACATAAATCCTCCAATGTTTTCTTAGGTCAGTCTCCCAAGGCAACAAAAACAAAAACAAACGAATGGGACCTAATCAATCTTACAGACTTTTGCGTGGCAAAGGAAACCATAAACAAAATGAAAAGACAACCACAGACTGGGTGAAAACTTTGCAAACAATGTGATCAACAAGTGCTTTATTTTCAAAATTTACAAACAGCTCATATACAACTAAATAACAAAAAAACCAAACAACCCAATCGAAAAATGAGCAGAAGACCTAAGTATACATTTCTCCAAAGAAGACATATAGACAGATGGCCAACAGGGACATGAAAAGATGCTCCATATCACTAATTATTAGAGAAATGCAAATCAAAACTACAGCGAGGTACTACCTCACACACCAGTCAGAATGTCCGTCACCAAAAAGTCTACAAACAAATGCTGGAGAGAAAAGGGAACCCTTCTACACCGTTGGTGGGGATATAAGTTGATGCAGCCACTTGGAAAACAGTCTGTAGGTTCCCCAGAAAACAAAAAATAGAATTACCACATGATTCAGCAATCCCATTCCTGGGCACATACCCAGACAGAACTAAATAATTCAAAAAGACCCATGCACCCTTATTTTCACAGCAGCACTATTCTCAATAGCCAAGACATGGAAGCAACCTAAAGGTCCATCAACAGATGAATGGATAAAGATGATGTGGTGTGTATGTACTTGTGTACACACAGACACACACAGACACACACACACAATGGAATACTACTCAGGCACTAAAAAAGAACAAAATAATGCCATTTGCAGCAACATGGATGCAACTAGAAATTAACATACTAAGTCAGTCAGAAAGAGAAAGACAAATACCATATGATATCACTTGTATGTAGAGTCTAAAATATAACACAAATGAACCTATCTACCAAACACAGACTCATGGACATAGAGAACTGACTTGTGGTGGCCAAGGGGAAGAGGTGTTAGCAGATGTAAGTTATTACAAATAAAACAAGGCCCTATTGTATAGCAAAGGGAACTGTATTCACTATCTGATAATAAACCATAATGGAAAAGAATATAAAGAAATATAAAACTGAATCACCTTGCTGCACAGTAGAAATGAACACATCATAAATCAAGTGTACTGCAATAAAAAAAAAGGAGCATAAAGTTCCAATAAGAGTATTAAGAAGTAAAACAGCGAGAATGAAAAAGCTTCTAAAACACGTAGCACAAGGCAAGATATATAGTCCCCTCAGTCTTTGGTCTGGGTATCATTAAAAGTCTAATAAATTGCTAGTTTCACAAGTCTATTCAATAAACCATTTCAGAAATAATTATAGTATTAGTTTATGTTCTGGCTAACAGAGGTTTTTTTTAAAAAAGACTGCTCTACTGTTTCCATGACAATGCCATTTTCAAATCACAATTTCAGAAGTACCAAAGTTACTGTTGGCAAAACAAGGTATATCTGTCAATCCTACTCAAAATTACTCAACTGTCACAATTTGACACATTAATTTTCAAACTAACTAGAATATCAGATCATTTGTGGGGTCAGTTCATCTCTAAAATTTCAAAATCCAGACAGAACTAAATAATTCAAAAAGACCCATGCACCCTTATTTTCACAGCAGCACTATTCTCAATAGCCAAGACATGGAAGCAACCTAAAGGTCCATCAACAGATGAATGGATAAAGATGATGTGGTGTGTATGTACTTGTGTACACACAGACACACACAGACACACACACACAATGGAATACTACTCAGGCACTAAAAAAGAACAAAATAATGCCATTTGCAGCAACATGGATGCAACTAGAAATTAACATACTAAGTCAGTCAGAAAGAGAAAG